AGTATTAAACATCAGACGCCCAGTCGGCATCGGTATATCCAATAAGTGCTTTTCCAGTCTTTCGGAATTTTAAACAATATATTTTTAGTTCCTTTTAAGTATCGAAGAACGCGCTTTGCAGCCAACCAGTGTAATTTTTCCAGGATTGTTATTAAATTGGCTCAGGTGACTGACGGCATATATGTAATATCCGGCCTAGTAAACACAGAAAGATACATAAGCGAACCAATTAGACGGCGATAAGGTACATTGTTCATTTCTTCCTTTTCAGTTTCAGAAGGACACATTTCTTTACTTAATTTTTACACTAGGATCTAAAGGAGTTGCTACTGGTTTTGCATCTTGCATATTAAACCTTCGTAGAATATTATCAACATATTTCTGCTGAGATAAACTAATAGAATTATTATTTACATCTTGATTAAATTCTATTCCAAGACAATAATGAAGTTTGCCTAAATCTTTAACATGAAATTCTTTAGAAAGATAACCTTTAAGTTCAGCATATAAATCACAGCTATTTGTTGCTATTATTAAGTCATCCACATAAAATTAGAATTAACTCACCTTGAGATGTTTTCATCCTGTATACACACTTATCTGATTGTAATGGTTGTAATCCAAAGTTTTTGAGTTTTTTTGTCTAATTTTTCATACCACTGTCTTCCACTTTGTTTCAAACCATAAAGAGACTTTTGCAAAGCATAAACATAATCAGGATTATTTTGGTCTTCAAAACCTTTAGCTTGTTCCATGAAAATTTCTTCTTTTAAATCTCCGTTAACATAAGCCATAACAAAATCTAGTTGATATAACATAAGGTCTTGTTCAGCACTGTATGCAATCACAGTTCTTATAGAACTTGCTTGCTCTGGCTACTGGAGCAAAGGTTTCATTAAAATCAATTCCAGGTTCCTGTGCAAATCCTCTAGCAACCAATCGAGCTTTTCTCTTTTTGAACTGTTCCATCTGCATTATATTTCGTTTCGTTCTAAGAACCCAGCGACATCCTATTACCTTTTTGTTCTGTGGTCGCTTTACTACCAATTTCCATGCACCATTTTTTAACAAGTGCTTCATACTCACTTTGCATAGCCTTATGCCATTCTTCAGCATAACTTCCATTTAATGCTTCTTCTAATGTCGGATTTGTATCTTCTTCTTCAGCAATTTGTGCTTCTTCCTTTTCTATGTTTATATTTGTGGTACTCCTTTTTTGGTCTTCCTGGCTTCCCAGTCTTGACTTTACTTTCTTTGGACGACCTGGCCCCCCTTTTAATCTGCATTTCAGGTAGTGCTTCGGAATCAGAATCTTCATTATCAGATGATTCAGCAGATGCTTCTGCCATATTTGAGGGGTCTTCTGTTATTTCATCAGCCGATATTTGATTTACATTCAGAGGTTCTTCCTTCTTTTTATCAGGAATATTTTCGAGAAATAAAACTTCTAAATCTTTATCATAATTAGTACAGTTTTCAAATTCATCAATGAATCTAACATCTCGGCTTATAACGATTTTTCTGGAATTTTTATTCCACAGCCTGTATGCTTTCGATTCATTTGAGTATCCTACAAATATATGTTCTTCTGATCGAGGATCGAATTTCCCTTTAGACCTTTTATTAAGTACAAAACATTTCTGTCCGAATACTTTGAAGTGAGATACAGTTGGCTTGATGCCAAAAAATAACTCATAAGGTGTTTTGTTTACTCCCAGGCTTCGATTCGGGCAACGATTACGAATATAAATAAACAGCACAAGTTCAAGGCTTCAGCCCAAAAGGATTGGGGAAGATTACTTTGTAGTAACAAACATCTGGCCATTTCAGTTAAAGTGCGGTTCATGCGTTCAGCTCTCGAATTCTGTTGAGGAGTCATTGGTGCAGAGAATTCTCGTTTAATACCCCCCGCATTCTTGAATATATTTATTAAATTCTTCTTCTCCGCGATATTCGAGACCGTTATCAGTCCGAAGGATTTTTATTTTCTTTCCTAGACGATTTTCAACCACAGCTTTATATTTAATGAATGATTTTTCATTTCGTGTTTAATTTTAAGAAAACTGACTTCGACATAATGTGATTTGTCATCTATAAAGGTAACAAAAATAATGCAAACCAGCATGGGATGGGACTCTCATAGGTCCACACAAATCTGAGAGAATCAAGTTCAGTAATTCATTACTTTGAAATTTTGATTCTTTTTTAAAAGCCTGCACAGTTTGTTTACCTCGGATACAGACTTTTGCAGTCTTTTAGAGATTCAGTGTTATTAAAATTTAAATTTCTAACCATGTTATCAGACTTAAGTCTTTTCAAATCAGACTCATTTAAATGACCTAATTTAAGATGCCACTTTACAAAATCACTTACCTGTGCTATTGCAGCTGTTTCAGTAGTGCTTGGATGTATATAATAAAGATCACCATGACGAATAGCCTGCACTAGTATAGATCCATTTGGTTCTATTATTCTAGCATGTCGTTCTGTAAAAATCACTGAACGATTATTTGCAGTAGCTTTAGATGTTGACAGCAAATTACATTTTAATTCCGGAACACACATACACATTTTTGAGTGTAAGTTTAATTGTCTTATTTCCGTTAGGTACTGTTATAAGGACAGTTCCAATTCCTGTAATTTTTGCTGTTTTGTTCAACTGCTAACTTTATGGTTGAATTCGTTCGAGGGTGAAATTCTGAAAATAACCTTCTGTCATTGCACATGTGAGATGTACAGCCACTATCTAAGCACCATGAGGAGGTCTTCTTCTGATAAGCATTGTTTACTGCTAAACTAATCTGCTCTTCATAATTAGAAGCCATCATAGAACCTTGATTTCCCTTATTTGATTGCGCATATTTTCTATCAGCTATTTTCTTTCTGCATTCAGATGCCTTGTGCCCAATTTTCGAGCAGTAATTACACTTCAAGTTTCGAAAATTTCTTTCAGCTGGAAAATTTTTGTTTGAATTTACCTTCCATTTTTCATTTTTTTCTTCTGTTCTTGATTTCTTCTTTTATAATCAGTATAGTATGCATTCTGTGAATCTTGAGACGTTTTCCCTTTTCTTTTCTGCTTCCCATTCTTCTAACATTTTGATTTTTTTTCAAAGATTCGGGACTAGGTAACTGATCTCTTGATTCGATGGCGCATCTAAAATTTTCAAAATTTTCTGGAATACTATAGAGCAGAAGAATCGATAATAAATCATCAGCTATGTCAATTTCCATTTGTTTAAGCTTATCAACTATTTCGAAGAAATTATTCAAATGTTCAGACATCGTTTCGCTTTCCCCACCATTTTTCTAAATAAAAGCTGTTTTAATAATGTAGCCTTCTTCGCAGGTCCTTTCGATTCATATACGGCTTTGAGTTTATTCCACACAGCATTTGATGTCACACAATGCTTTATATGACACAGTTCACTAGGATTAATAGCAAGAATTATATCTGCGCGAGCTTTTTGATCAGCTTGGAGCCATTTCTTTTCGTCTTCGGTTCCTTCAGCAGGTTTTAGCACTTTACCGGTTACATAATCCCAATGGTCGTTTTTAATCAATACTGCTTCTATTTGTAATTTCCAACTGTCAAAATTATCTTTTTCCGAGCTTTTCTATAGTAGTCAAATGCGACATAATGTAATACAGTCTCTCACAGCCAAAAAACAAGATTGAGCGCTATAAAAATAGGCTTAACTGAACGTTGATCAGTTCTTACCGTTGATTAGACGTAACAGTTCTTGCACTGGGAATTAGGCTTAAGAGTTCAATGCTCGAAAACTTCAAAATGTTCATTTTAAAAAATAAGTATTTTGCTAATTAGGCACAAGTTGAAACGTTCCTGGGCCCATAACCATTGAAGAAATAAATGGAGCCTAAATAGATTGTAATATCAATGAACATTTTTTAATGACAGAAGATTAAACTTAAACATAGTTTGCGGTACAGCAGAGAAAAGGCGAAGAAGTAAGAATGGTATACATATACATACATACATAATTTAAACAGATACGTCATCATTCATCACCGCGCGGATAAACGCGAACGGCGCATGCGTCAGGAGAAGCTCTCTTAAGCTAAACGTCGTATTATAATTTATGATACAACAGAAACTTTCCTTTTCATGAAAGAAATTTTTGACCTAGTGTATTAATTCATGCATTGTTTAATGGTTTTAGAGAAAATTTGATAGAATAAGTCTGATGTCGTGCTTGGAAATCGTTCACTTTTTTTTTCTTATTTCAAAACTCCAAATGGATTTTTGTCAAGAGTTTATTTTAAAACATATTATGTTAGGTACAATCTTTTACATTGTTCAGGAAGCATAGCTCAAAATATATAACCTTGAATACAAAAATATATACCTTGAATTTGGTATTAAAATTACTTAATACTGCTGTATTGAAAAGTTAGAAGAAAAACCTTATATAGTTTAAAAAATTTTACATTTAGCTCAAATTCTAACGAAAAATCAGAAATTACCCTTCCCCCACAAAAGAGTATGCCATAACAAAAGTTTAAATAATATCAAAACTTCAATCAAATTCTCTAAACAAATTTTGTTTCTTTCAACAAATCGAAGTGAAACGTCATCTGAAATTCACAAAGAGATAAACTTGCATCAAATAAAGATTCTGGAGGAGAGAAATGTAAAATAAAATCCTTAAATTTTTGCTTTCACATATTTTTATGCTGCCAATCTTTGTACAAAAACTGAACGACTTTTCAGACCTACAAAAATGATTTTGTTACGAATCCTTTTCGGAATACTGCCTAGAAATGATTATATAAGAATAATTATTTTATAATGACTATATATATATATATATAAATTTTCCCCTGAATCTTATTATATTTTGATTGCATAAAGTAGGGATTTTGAAAGGAAAGTTATTTCCCTCATTTTTATTTATCTTCTAGGAAATCGAATATTGATTGCATACTTAACTATAAGCTGATCATTTTTAATTTCTAATTTATTACCTCTTCAATTTCAGAGCGTTCCTCATGCCTGCAGTATTCCCGGGGGATTATGTATCGGGAGTAAGATCTACATACACGGGATGGTACCCAAGGATTCGACCAGGTAAATTCATTATTTTATAAAACTGCCTATTTGTTAAAAGATACGAGTATATTCAATAAAACGATGAATATATTATCGGATATCAACATTAACTTCATTGTACTTGACGAAGGAAATCTTTCAATTTTTTTAATCTTAAGCTAATCTTGATTGAAGATGTAAGATCTCACTTAGATCTTTAACTAAAGCTTTAAGTTTTGTCGATACTTAACTAAAAAATGCGCTGTAATTTCCAAAGGCATAAGGAATTAGTTACAGGTTTTAAAAATTTTCTTTATATTATGAAAATTTATTTGTTAAAAGAATTGTCAAGGATTCTGTTACTTAAGATATAAAAATATTGTTTAGAAAATAAACTTTAAAGCGTCTGTCATTTAATGTACTGGATATTGTTCTACGTTGTTTGCTTAATAATATTTTACGTTTAGTTTGACTGTAATTCCCGAGTGTGCTTTTTTTATAATACAGAGTTTAGTAACAATTCAAATCAAGAGTTTACTTCGTTATCTTAGAATAAATACTAAGCACATATGTGTTTGTTTAAAGATATTTGAAATTTGCATGTAAGTTTTTAATACTAGTGTATTTAGTTTAATTACGGATATTTTAAATATATTTTATTATCGTGTCAATTAATATTAAAAGGAACAGAAGCGGTGCTAGTGAAACTATTTAATAGTCATACTGATGCGAGTGTATTGAAAAATCAGAAAGTTAGCTAATATGAAATTTTTTACTGTACAAATGTAGCCTACATTTCATTCCCCAATTTTATTATCTATTGAACTGTTATTTGTATTTATAATTATTGAGTATTTTTAAATATTAGTTTTGATTAGAAAACGTAAGCAAAGTTGTAAATCTGTACTTAACCTTTCTACAAGTCTGTTCCTCTAACGGCTTGTGAGTTACACTGTAAACAGTTTACACAAATAATATCTCTTGAGATTTTTACAACTAAAGAGAAAAATGTACAGCTTAGAAAATTCGATATATGTGGATACTTATGAAATTATAATAATTATTATGAATAACCTGATTATTATGAAATTATAATAATCAGGTGACCTGCTCCCTTATGGCTATATATCTATGAAAAATTATTAATTTTAAAATAATATATTTCGCTTTGAACCTTACATTGCCGACTATTAAAGGGGTTCACTTACCAACTTGACTTCCAAAACTATAGGGATTTTGTTTCCGAAAAGCAATTAGTTTGATAGGCACACGAACACGTCTCAACGGTTTGGAATCTCTTTACTCAAGCTTTAAGATTTCTGGTTAGCTTTCACTCGCATTTTAACTTCTTGCGAATTCTTTACATTTGCATGACATTCTGTTCCGAGGGAATATATGTGACGTGAACTATATAGGAAAAATAGAGCAATGTGTAAGTCAAATTTAAGTATCTGTAGGACTTAAAATATCACAAGGTAAAAATGAAAGGAGATATTTAGTAAATATATCGCATCGCTTTAAAGGTCTTTTAAATTTTATTTAAACAAACATTAGAAAGATTATTAAGAGTGCGCTGTTAAAAGGCAAATAATTAAATAAATAATCAGCAGTGGGTGACGTACCGTTATAATAACTAACCAGTTATTATGATTTAGATCTTACTGTCACGTCTTTGTTTTCATGCCAGAATGCAAATTAGCTTGCGTGTATTTAAACTGAGGTTTTTAGATTTTGAGACAGAGCGTTTCTGTCTCTCGAGGTCGCGTTACTAAGTTGCTACTAGCTCAGATAAGATTTAGAGTCTTCGTCCTTGCATTATTAATTGTTGATATTTGAATATCTACTCCAGTCAGATTTGTGAGCTAACTTTAAATTGAATTACGTAGTACTTGACTACCAGCTTATTTTAAATATGAACATACTGCTACATATGTTATTTCGACATAAGTGCTGGTTTAGCTATAAGCACCGGGTATGCCTTTTATTCCTCTTCAGTTTTAATAAAGGGTGTTTTACGCCATTCTCAAGGCTCATTTGTTTGAGGAAACTTATAATGGATAAATTGCAGTCATTGGGACAGAACCTTTGTTATGTCACCTAGTCTGTCATGACACCTATAACATTGGTGGGATGAATAGCACAGTATTTCCCAGGTAGAAGAGTCCATTTTTTACAACAAAGCTTCCACCGACCGCCTAATTTCAGCACCATACATAACCCCTTTCGTCACATGCCATGGTCCGTTTCCAGAATATTTCTGGAAAAGTGGTTTTGTTTCCTTCTACCTATGTGTGTGCAGCGAGGCTGGATCCCCCGACCATTACATGACAACGTGCCTACTCACATGGGCATGGCACATTAGGTTGCCAGACACTAATGACCCATTTAAGCGATTCTTCATCAAGAAGCCGGCCTCCCATAAAGATATTAAGAGGTATAATGGAAAAACTAGAGGCAGGATCTGTCATGTAGTTTTTAGTATGCATCCAGTTTATTGATTATGTACTTGTATGCTGTCTATGCAGTATCTGTATATCTATATATCTGTATATTAGTATAACGTCTGCATAATGTAAAGTATAATGTGCGAATCAGTTCTTTGTATCTGTGTAGTATGTAGTAATGTATTTAGGTCCTATGTGTCTGCGTACTATCTTGTATTGGTATTTAGTATCTGTGTCAGCATTCGTATTAAAAATTTTGATAGTATGTTTAATATCTGTATAGTTTATATAGTGAAGTTTGATATTTGTGTATTCGTATTTAATATCTGTATAATAGCGTAATTAGTATCTGTATACATGCTTTTTTCGTTACTTATCGTATCAGTATAACTGCGTTAGTATCTGTATATCTGCGTAATGTGTTGCATTAATATTTGGAATATGTGTCTGCATAGTATCTGAGTAGCAGTGTGTAAAATGTATAGTCTAATGACTTTATCAGCATATGTAGCATCTTAATAAAGTCCCCATGTGTTTCTTGTGGGGCGCCAGGCGTGCTGAACTAAACAGTTGAGGGATCCGAACAATACCCGATTAGTCTATGTAAGCCGCCCGGGTGTTCGAACTCGCTTTCACCTGGCACCTGCCAGTCTATCTAAAGTTTGGTTATAATTTATGATAGATAAAAAGACAACTTTGCAAGCGTCAGTTTTTCAGGAGCTAAAAATAGCACGTTGCTCACTCTCAGGGTGTGCAGCCCCTCAGGTGGCTCACTTTTGTGAGTACGGGTGTGACAATCCCGAGGTACCCTAGCCCTTCAGGGGATCATCTTCTTGGTGAGACGGGTGTCACGATCCTGGAGCCCCAGTGATCTATCCTCTTTTCCGTCTCCTCTCCTTTTTGCTGGAAATTTTCCCCTTCCCTTCTCCCTAGTGGTTTCTCTCTACGGAGTTTGGGGCTCGTCACGAGAGACTGGAGCAGCCCTTGTCTCTAGTTTTCAAGTGGCGAGAAAACTGCCCACGTGTTTGCCGTGCGTGGAGACCCGTGTCGCTGGAAAGGAGGGTCCTGGTAGTTGAGGGGCGAGGTACTGTCCCCAACACACTTGCTTTGGCCTCTGCTTCAGCTAAACGGGAGGCACCTTAGTCGTCCTCACGGGTGTCAATCGGCTGGTCACTAGTCCTTGTGTCAGTGGCTTGGGGATCAAGCTCTCGGGAGTACCTGCTTTCGGGAAAGCCGACTGTGGGGCTTCAGTTTGCGTATAGGTCCGGCTAGCCCTAACACAGGAATCTGTGTTCCCTTGTTGGGCTCCGTGGTGGGCGGGGCCGTCGGACCCGAATCTTTCCTCTCTTCAATATGGCAAACTCTCATATTTATCTCATAAAAGATTTTGAAGTCACTCCAGTCACTCATCCTAATTCTGAAAAGTCCACTGCTAAACCAGTCACTCAACCTAGTTCTGAAAAGTCTACTGCAAAGAAATTACGTACAGATGCAAATGAAAATAATCCTAATAGTAGTCTCCGTTTCCTAGTTATCTCTAGTCCTTCTGGCGAGCTGCAGAAGATGTCTCCTTTTGTAATAAATAAATATATTCATTCTTGTATTGGTGAGCCGAGAAATATAAAGCGTCTCCGCTCTGGAGACTTGTTTATTGATTCAACCTCAGCCACCTAGTCTGCTTCTTTACTTCAAGTAACTAAACTTGGGCTAGCGAATGTCACTGTAACAGCACATAAGTCACTAAATTATTGTCGTGGTTAATCTCGGAATTCGACCTTCTGTATGTTTCTGAAGAAGAGATCGCTTCCGAGCTGTTCTACCAAAATGTCTGCGGTGTTAGGCGGATCAAGATGCGTAAGGAAGGTAAGTTGATCGACACGAAACACGTGTGCCTGACCTTCAACACGCCTGATCTGCTTAAGAATATTAAGGCCGGATATCTAAATCTTCCTGTAAGACCTTATATTCCAAACCCTATGCGATGCTTCCAATGCCAGCGTTTCGGCCATTCTAAGACGTCTTGTCGTGGCAGCCTCACATGCGCCCGATGCTCACAGATTGGCCACGATTCTGAAAATTGTACCGCTGCGCCCTCTTTGTATAAATTGCAAGGGTGAGCACCCAGCATTTTCACGCCTCTGCCCAAAATGGAAATTGGAAAAAGAAGTGCAGACTGCAAAAGTTACGAGGAACATCTCATATGCCGAAGCCAGAAGATTAGTCCAAAGCACACAGCTTCGACCAAATACATCATACGCCAGTGCTGTTAAATCATCTCGTACAGTGTCCACCCAAACATCAATAGGTACGCAGATTCTAGCAAATAAAACTCAACCGACTACATCCACCAAGAAAAAAGAAACTTCAACTCATTTAGTACAAAAGAAAGAAACTGTCATTCAAAGTAAACCCAAAACTGCCACCAAAAAAAATCATCAATAAAAATAAAAGTTCCAGCAATAGCTCTCTTGATGAAATGATTTCTGAATCTGCGGACTCAGACAGTATGGAAGTAGAAGAGGGTCTAGAAGTTCCCAGGCATCTACTTCCACGAAAAACAAAAGAACAGCACAGAAAGAACAAAAACCATTCATA